TATTAGCTTTATATATATATATTTTTTTTTTTTTTTTTCACACACATATATACATACATTTTCATATATTGTAATACAAAAAAATTGTCTTGTATTTTTTGCATGTACATATTTACAAGTCCAATCAAGGAATGTTCTGAAATTGGCAGTACATTATTATTAGTATGTGTATTATTGATAGTGTTAGTAATATTAGTTTTAGCATTAGTAACAATGTTTAATGTTTATATTAGTGTTACTAATAGTGGGATTCCTGTGCAGTCTACAACTAATTAGCTGTCACTATAGACATGCAATGCAAACGCCAAAATAATTGGATCATTTTTGTAATGGGTTACATTATTTCTGAAATTTTCAAATATTTATTTTAAAAACAAAACACAGAACAGGCAACAGCAACAACAAAAAACAGTCTTCTTTCAGCTCTTCTCTTTTCAGGGTTCGTCACAGTGAGTTTCACTCACTTCCTCGGTTTCACTCTTGTCGTCTGCGTTCCCTGTTCTCACTCCAACTACCTCCATGTCTTCTCTAACTGCATCTGTATATCTCAACTTGGGCTTTCCTCTGTCTTTTTGGCTGACGGCTGCTTTCTACAAATTTGCCCTTGTTCCTAAGAATGGGCACAGACACTTCTCATCTATTCATTGAGCATTTTCTCACTTTAAAAAAATGGAATTAATAATAGTCATAAACCTCACTCCTAGACATTTCTATACCTCCATTGGTGTGTCCTCAGGTCCAACTGCCTTCCTCCTAATCTTCTTTAAAGCTTTATGAACTTCATCCTCACTAATCTTTCCCACTTCCTGGTCCAAAGTGTAAATGACCTCTACTCTTCCTTCCCTCTTATTCTCTTCATTCATTCATCAAAGTACTCCTTCCATCTCATCACACTCTCCTCACTTGAAAGAACATTAACATTTCTCTTTGACAAGCTTACCTGCTGCACATCCTTTCCAGCTTGATCCCTCTGTCTCACCAGTTGAACAAAGTCCTTCTCTCCCTCATTAGTGTCCTGTCTCCCTTACAACTCATCATACTCCTTCTGTTTTGTCTTGGTTACCTCCCTCATTGCCCTAGGTTGCATCTCTTTAAATTCCTGTCTACTTTCTTTAGTCTTCTTTCTCTCTCATTTCTTCTTGGCTAACCTCATCCTCTGGCTAACTTCATGCATTTCACTATTCCACCATCAAGTTTCCTTGTCCTCTTTTGTCGGTCCAGATGACACACCAAGTACCTTCCTATCTGTCTCTCTAATTACTGTTGCTGTAGTAGCCCAGTCATTTAAAAGCTCTTTTTTTCATTCAACCTTTATTTAGACAGGTAAATCCCATTGAGCCTCGAGGACTCATTTACAAGAGAGACCTGACTTCAACAAAGAATGATGACAAGATGATAATAATGATAATGATGACAACATTTAGAAGCTCTTTCTTACCACCCAGAGCCTTTAGCATCTCCTCTCTGAACTCCTCACAACATTCTTCCTTCCTCAGCTTCCACCATTTGGTCTTCTTCTCTGATTTGACTCTTTTTCTCTTCTTCACAACAACAGTCATTCTACACACAACCATCCAATGCTGTCTGGCCACGCTCTCCCCTGCCACAATCTTACTGTCTCCAATCTCCCTCAGGTTTCTTCTTCTACACAGAATGTAGACTACCTGAATACTCCTGCCTTCACTCTAATAAATCACCCTGTTTTTGTCTCTTATGGAAATGGATGTTAACTACAGCCATATTTCTATTGACAAAATCCACCGCCATCTGTCCTTTCTGGTTATTTTACTTCCTCATCTACTGTTTCATTCACCAACGTGTCTATTACTACACTCTTCTCACTGGGAATACTCTTACTTCATCTAGATCCTTCCACAATTTCTCTTTCCATTCGGTCACATCCAATCTGTGGAGCATAACCACTATCATTTAACATCAGACCTTCTACTTCTGCCATTAGACACTACCTATCTGACACTTTTTTCACCTGTACTACAATATTTACAAATTCAACCCTCAGGACCACCCCTACTCTGTGTGTCTTTTTATCCACACCATGGTAAAACCATTTAATCCCTGCTCCAATGCTGCGAGCCTTGCTGTTCTTCCACTTGGTATCTTGGACACGTAAAACATCTACCTTCCTTCTCTGCATCATGCCAGCCAGCTCTCTACATTTGCCTGTCATTGACCCCACATTTAGTTGCCACTCTCCGTCCTATGTCCTTAACTTTCCTCTTCTCCCTCTGTCTCCTGACACGTTTTTCTCGTCGTGGTCTCGATTAAAGGCTCCAGTATACTCCCGCATCCTGTCAGCCGCACGGAAACTGTGCGCAGAGGGTTGAGACTTAATGCTCGAGCGTCCACTCTGAGCGGCTGCAGAGAAGCTCCGCAGACTATGGGCGTTTACCTTCGGGACAAATTGAGTTTACCGATTGGTCATTTGCTGACACGCCTACAGGTCGAAAAATAAAAATAAAAACGAGAGCTGGCAGCTCCAGCCGCAGCGGTGTTCTGTGTTTATATGTTGTTAATAATTTATTTTTTTTATTTTAAAAAGCGCAGAGCGCTGGTCCTGAAGCCCACACATCAGACCAGCCCACCAGGAAATTTCCAGACCCTCCCACAGCCATGTTGGACATGATTTTAATTCGCTCGTGACAAATTCCTTCA